TAACAGTTCTCCAAGGTTTGTTAGGAGCATGAGCTATCTATTGTCCACCTCCTCCTTACTCTTCCCTCCCCTGTTTTCACCACTGCTGAGGCAACAACCACTTTTGCTTTTTTAGCTGATTATGTTGATATTAAAGTCTATCTCTCTTAATATTGCCTGTATTGCTACTGCTTGAGATAGGCATTATCTTTTGATAACTTTTCCTTTCAATAAAGCTATATAGTATTGTAATTTTGGTTAAGTCAGCATTCAGCATTTGCATTGCTATAACTATGTAAGTACTATTTACAGCTGAGTCAGATTCAGTAGTAATCTGCGGCTGCATTTCTTGTACAACCTTTGTTTCCCCTGGAGTGAACAATTATCTCTTTTTGCTTTCTATGTAGTTATCACTAATTAACCCCCATTTCTTTACCAGTTACCTGAATCTCATCTCAAGATATTTATATAGATCAGATGTTATATTAATTTTACCTTCCTGAAGAAGTTGCTTCTAGATCTTTCTGCCCCACTCCATTCTGGACTGGACACCTTCTAATCTGGGATCTCCCTTTACCATTATCCTGGGGATCTAGTCTACTTCACTCCCATGTTTTATAAAGAATTTTAAGAACCTTCAGTTTTCAGAAGGAATATAGTTTCCAGCCTAATGCTTTCTAACCCAGACAAGTAGTCAGTCAGTATGACGATATGTTAAAGATATTTTCAAAAAAGAAAAAAAGGTGAGCTGGCTGGTTAGCTCAGTTGGTTAGAGCGTGGTGTGGATAACACCAAGGTCCAGGGTTCAGTCCCTGTACCAACCAACCACGAAAAAGAAAAACTATACATATTTTCAAGCATTCGGGTTCTCAACAACAAATTAGCCTTATACTGCTTTCCCTCAGGAAGTTACTAGAGGATTTATACCTCTAAAATAAGAGAGTAAGCCCAGAAAGAGGAAATGTCCAAGGAAATCTCATATAAGATGATGGGCCATGCTGTGGGTCCATTTTCAGTCTGTAAATCTGGCCCATAGTGCCGGATGCTTGGTGAGCCTTTCAGTCTGAAATTTAGTTTAGGTTTTCAGTGCTGGGGAGTTTTCTGGAAAAAATATGGTTATTTGTTCATAGTGAAGAGTGAGGGAATTAAAAAGCTGAGGTGGGGACAGAGTCCCTCAGTCACTGTGTGGTGACATGGCCTAACTGTCTATTTGGGAAAGCTCCAGGTATCAGTATCTTTTAGGCCTTTCTCTTGGGTGGTCAGGTCCTCCTGCTTGGAGGCCTGGCTAGCAGCATTCTGAGAACTGACAAGTGCAGGTCACAAGAGCTTGGGGGTATGGGAGATAGGGGGCACCTCAGCCTCCTGTGCCAACCTTCACTTCCTCTCCTTTTTACCAGCACACTTCCCTTGCTCTCACAGAGCTGGGCCCTGCCTCTTTTCCCTCCTCCAATGGGAAAGGGCTGGGGTGGGATTTTTAAATAGACTTCTTTCTTGCTTCCAAAATTTTATTGCTCCTGTTTCCCTTCCTCCTCATCCTTAAGGGTTTGTGTCTTTTTTCTTAAAAGACTCTTTTCTATTGTTCTAGTGAGGTTTTTAGGAGAGATTAAAAGGAGATGCTTGTGTTCAAGCCACCATCTTTACTCAGAAGTCTGTACCAACTTAATTTCATAGATATCATACCATTGAAAAAAAAGTGCAAGGTCACTAATGATTAGGGAAATATGAATTAACGTGTTTTGGGGGGGTGCTAATTAAAACCACAATGAAATATCATCTCATACCTTTTAAAATGGTTTTGATCAAAAAGTCAGAAGATAGCAAGTGTTGACGAAGATGTGGAGAAGAGGGAACCCTTGTACACTGTTGGTGGGAATGTAAATTAGTACAGTCATTGTGGAAAACAGTACGGAGGTTTCTCAGAAAATTAAAAATAGAACTACCATATGATCCAGCAATCCTACTTCTGGGTATTTACTGAAAAGATTTGAAATCAGTTTGTCAGAGAGAGATCTGCGCCTTGTGTTTATTGTAGTACTGTTCACAATCGCCAAGTAATGGCATCAGCCTAAGTGTCCTTCACTAGATGAAAAGATGAAGATAATGTGGTATAGTTACATGATTAATACTATTCAGCCTTAAGAAGGAAATTCTGTCATTTGTGACAACAGGAATGGATTTGGAGAACGTTACACTAAGTGAAATAAGCCAGGCATAGAAAGAAATACCACGTGTCCTCACTTGTACGTGGAATCTACAGTACCCGAATTCATAGGAGTAGAGTAGAATGGTGGTTACAGAGTCGGGGGGCTGGAGGCTGTGGGTAGATGATGGTCAAAGGATGCAAAGTCTCAGGAGGAGGAATATGTTTGTTTCTTTTTTTAAGTTCTGTTGAACAGTGTGGTGAATATAGTTAATAATAGAGTATTGTACATTTCAAAATTGTTAAGGGAGTAAATTTCAAATGTTCTCACCACAAAAAAACGTTAAAAGTATTTGAGGGGATGGAAATGTTAGCTAGCTTGATTTAATTATTCCACGTTGTATTCATAAGCTGTAACTACACTTTGTACCCCATAAATTTATATAATTATAAGCCGTCCATTTATAATAAAAAAGAATTTATCTTAAATGGCAAGCATTTCTCTCATATGTTACTATGTTGGGACACAATATTAATGGTAAATAAGCATCCTACTCAGATCTACAAATACAGTTATTTGAGGTAGGGCTGTGGTACTTTAAGATGTTTTCCAAATTCTAGTGGTAAGTGTTGAGTATGTATGTGTGTATATTTATAGGCCAGATCACTAGCGAGACACTTGTAAACTACTATACAACATTACTAAGTACACCTTATCTTTTTTTTTTTTTTTTTTCCAACACAGCTGTGAAAACAAACAAATAGACTAGGAAAAATCCCTGGGAGAAACATTTTTACAGCTGGGTCAGAAGAATTTTTATTTTATAATTGTTCATCCAAAACATACTTGTCTTTAGGCAGTGCAATTTATTTATTTTGAATTAAGAATACCAGCAACATATTCTTTTTAACATTGTTCTCTGTTATTTACTAAATATGATTATTACTTTACCAAATACAGGAAGATAAGAAGAAAAAATTTTCTCTTGGGTTTTATTTTTTTTAGCCTGAAAATATATGAACTGGGCACATAGCTATTCATTTGAAAAAATCTGAATCCTTGGCAATATCGCTTATTCCATATTTACAGAAAACTCCAAAATGTACATTGTAGCCCCTCCTCTCTCCTGAGACTTGGCGCGTTGTTTCCAGACACCTGCAGCCCCCATCAGGATCCAGGTGACGTGCTCCTGCTGCACAGACTTCACCAGTCTCAACTGGAGCATCATTTCTTGCCCTTCCCCACCCACTGCCTTTTTTCTAATGCTTTCTAGTGATGGATCCTAATTCATGGTGTCACCAGCTTTCTGGTCACTTATGCTAGACTTTTGAGAGCAGTTTCTAACCCTGTTTTTAACTCTTAACCCTCTCATCCACAGGTGGATCCGTCTAGCAGTCCTAATTTAGAAATTATCTCACAGTCATTCTTTCCTAAAAGGCATGTGTTCCCACCGCATATTCCCATTGCCCTAATTCAGGCCCTGTCTCTTCTCCGCTTTTCTCAAGTGGCCTCTTGGTCTTCTTTGTTCCTCTCGTTCTCCTGCACAGTCCACCATACCCTGTGCTGGTGCAGACTCCGAACACACAGTCACGGTTGTCATCTGAGATTCTTGAAGCCCTCTTCTCTTTATCATCCCCTTCCTCCTCCGCTCTAGTGTTTCCCCTCAGCCTTCAGAATAGCAGGCGCGGCATTTGAAATCCTTTACAGTCTGGCCTAATCAAAAAATGCTTTCTCACATTACGCTGTTCTTGTGTCAGCAGACTGTTCACCATTCCTCAGTCAGCTGGAAATGCCCTTTCTTCAGATTCTACCAACCGAAACCCACTTATCTTTCAAGCTTCCTCCCAGACACCATGTCCCTATGAACCTTTCTGGGATGTCTCTTGTTGGAATTATTTTCCAACACTTTCAGTTGTACTGAGCATCCTTCACAAGATGCCTTCTTTTACATGTTTATTTGCAATTTTTTTTCTCTCTCACCAGATCGGGATCAGGAACTAGATCTTCTTTGTCTTTGTTTCTTCTTTAGTCCTATGTCCATCTTGGAAATGATACTTAATCAGGGAAGACTTGTTGAATTCAGTATCTCATAGAATTTTAGGTAAGGGTTTATCAATTTTTAGTCACATACAAGTAATAAACAGGCCAAGTTCTTAAATGATTTACCAAATTTTTGTGTGGCTCTGTCACACTAATAAAGTATTGAGAACTCAACTGCTTACAACCTTATTTACTCTAAATAGTGGAGAAGCAGTAAAATAAAGTCTGCTCAGTAGAACTAGAGTTCATCACATACAGGTTAGCTTTTTCCAGCTTTGTTTACTTTGATCTGCAGACCATTCTAGGTGGGCTGTTTTTTTCTGGCTTCCAAGCCTGTAGCAACTAAGGAATAATAAGGGAGCCCTCAGTAATTTTTGACTTACATAGTCAGTGTGGTCTGCCTCTCTCAGTTTTGGGATATGAAGTTGAAAGAGTCTCTTATTTTAATTCCATATAGTAGCTATGCTTTAAAAGCCATGTTTTAAAAAATTATGTATTTCCTTGAAAAGTTTTTTGCATTAAAAATGTTAATTGAAGAAAATTCTTTCTAACGTGCTAAGCATAAAGTTAGCCAAAAAGGCTCATTGTTAGCTCATTGTGTGTAATGGCCAAATAATATATATCATCTGCAAAGTAGATTAATTTCTTTTGTTGGTGGGAGATTAAACTGGGTGCAAATTAAAACTAATTGTAAAGAAATTTCATAATGAATTAATAATTTATGCCTTATGCAGCTTATTAATTTATAATAGAATGAATGTTTTTAGGCCATCTTTTGGACAAGATTTTATTCAGATGCTAACTTAAATTTTTACATACTTTTTCTTATTTTTCTTATAGAGCCTTCCAAATATTCTCACTGATGATCGATTTAAAGTTATGTTTGAGAATCCCGACTTCCAAGTAGATGAAGAGAGTGAAGAATTTAGGCTTTTGAATCCACTTGTTTCAAAAATTAGTGAAAAAAGGAAGAAGAAACTACGACTCTTAGAGCAACAGGAACTTCGTGAAAAAGTAATGTGCTCCTTGTCATTTAGAATTTGCTACTGTTTCTTTAACATCAAGTTTTCCCTGTAAGTTAGAGAAGAGTGTTTGATTGTGCTTGAGGTGTAATTAATTACATCTTAACTGTTTGACATTCAGCTTTGGCATGTCTCTTATTTGATTAAAGGCATTTCTTTAGATGCATGTGATGGAGTAGCTGTCACGTACTCTAATGGCCCAATGCTATTTAAAAGAAAATATGGGTCAGTGTTAGCTTGGAGGAAAAGAGCTGCTTCTTACTATTTTTATTTTCAGGAAGAGGAGGAAGAACCGGAAGGAAAACCGAGTGATGCAGAAAGTTCGGAGAGTTCAGATGATGAAAAAGACTGGGTTGAAGAGGTCAGGAAGCAGCGCAGACTTCTCCAGCAGGAGGAAAAAGTGAAGCGGCAGGAACAACGCAAGGAGGACCAGCAGACGGTCCTAAAGCCCCAGTTTTATGAGATCAAAGCAGGAGAAGAATTCAGAAGCTTCAAAGATTCTGCCACAAAGCAGAAACTGATGAAGTGAGTAGTGCTCCCTTAGCGACAAGTTGACATGTGGCAGAGCCCTTGCCTTTCCTTGTGGGCACATTGCCCTGAGGCTAACATTTCTGTCTTCTTTGAGTGGGGCTGTGGGGGAAGGGATGAGAGCATGAAGGGATGGGGAGAGCCACACAGGAGGTGACGTGGGAGAAGCACCACAGCAGGCCAGGGGGATGTCACTGTTGAAGTGCACGGGTTACTTCATTTATTTATTTTTCTAAGCAACTTTTTGAGGTGTTTTTTATATGCAGTAAAATATAGGCCACAGCCGTGTGAGTACTAGTAAATACACACTACAACACTTTTAAACTGCAAAAGCCACACTCTTCTGTTGTCCTTGCTTTTTTTCCACTGGATTCCCTAACCTGCAGAGAGTATCTGGCTTTTTCTATGTCCTACAGATCAGTGGTTTGAAGCCTTTTAGACAGGGGTAATTAAGAGATAATAAATTCTTTGCCTCTTAACAAAAAATTATTTTTTTTTTTTCAAAAAATTATTTTTAAAAATTAGAATCTCAGTTATGTTTTCCCCATCTCAATTTACCTGATTATTGAAAAGTTCACTTGGAAAATTTGCCAGAAATTTTAAGGAAAATTCCTTTTGCAGGAAAATGGAGAGATAAAAAAAAGTGTGTGATATTCCACAATAGTCATCATAGAGACAGAAAGCAGAGTGGTGGTTGCCAGGAGCTGGGGAGAGGGAGAAAGAGGAGTTAGTGATTAATGGAAACAGAGTTTCAGTTTGGGATGATGAAAATGTTCTAGAGATGGCTTGTGGTGATGATTGCACAACAATGGGAATGTATTTAATGCTACTGAATTGTCTGTTTAAAAATGTTTAAAATGGTAAGCTTTTATGTTATATTTACCACAGTTTTAAAAAATCAGTCTTCAAAAAAAAAGTGGTATTATTTGAACAATTTTCAGTTTCAGGTGTTTAAGTGAGGAACAAGCTAAGTACTCAAGTCCAAACTGTGTACAAGCTCTAAATTATATAAGTCTCTGAGAATTTCCAGGACAATATTGATGTTGTAGTAGATTGAATTATGTCCCCTCAAAACTCACTGAAGCTTGAATTGTGTTCCCCAACTTTCAGGTATTAGAAACTTGGCCTTCACTGTGACTGTTAAGAGAGTGGGAAATCCTACTGTGGTAATTGAAAGGTGGGGCCTTGAAGAGGTGATTAGATTGTAGGACCATGCAATAGTGAGTGGATTAAAAATGGTGGTCAGGGGCGTGGTTCTGAGGGCTTTAAAAGAAGAGAGAGGAAAGTCTGTCTCCTTCTCTGCTCTCTCTGCTTCCACCATCTTGCAATGTGAGACTCCAGGGTCACTGTCGCCCCCACCGGATGGACTTTGGACTTCCCAGCCTCAGAAATTGTAAGGAATAAATTTCGTTTTCTTTATAAATCACCCAGTTCCAGGTATTTTGTTATAAGCAGCAGAAATGGACTAATACAGATGTGCAAGATTTGATTGTGATAGATGGTCACAGTAGATGTCTTGAAAGAAGAGCTGTAATGTCCTGGGAGCCTTGGGAGCAGTCACAGGGTGGAGGAGGAGGAGTGGGCAGTACAGATGAGAGGTTAGATTGGGGTCAGTACCATTTCTGTACTTGTGCTTCTCAGCTCCCAGCTTTCCATTCAGGGAAATGTGTTTCCAGAAGGGGAGGAGTGTCATTGGTATTTTGATGGGGATTGCATTGAATTTGTAGATCATTTTAGGTAGTATGGACATTTTCACAACTTTAATTCATCCAATCCATGAACATGGAATGTCTTTCCATCTTTTTTATGTCCTCTATAATTTCTTTCAGCAGTGATTTATAGTTCTCATTGTAGAGATCTTTCACCTCCATGGTTAAATTTATCCCTACGTATTTTATCCCCATCAAAATACCAATGACATTCATCACAGAAATAGAAAACAATACTAACATTCATGTGGAACAGCAGAAGACCCCGAATAGCCAAAGCAATCCTAAGCAGAAAAAATTAAGTGGGGTATTATACTACCTGACTTCAAGTTAGACTACAAAGCTGTAGTAACCAAAACAGCATGGGACTGGCATAAAAACAGACACACAGACGAGTGGAACAGAGTAGAGAATCCAGAAATCAATCCATGTACCTACAGCCAACTGATCTTCAACAAAGGCACCAAGAAGAAAAGGGTGGGGAGGACATCAGTAAATAGGCTTAATTGTTTCTGGAGATGAAATATGTCTTACTCATCTTTATTTCACCAGCTTCTAGCAATTATCTGGGACACCAGATCCTTCAATTTAGAATCCAGAAGCATCTCAAAATTCTGGTTCTGAGTAACAGAAGATATGTCGGTGAATAATGAAGCTAGTAATATTCTTGATATCTTTTAAAGATGTTTTCTTTACCTACCAACTTTTTTTTAATTGACTTTCTTTAGATGTAATTTACACAACACACAATTCACTTACTTAAAGAAATACAATTCATTGGCTTCTAATGTTTTCACAGAGTTGTGCAACCATCACCACAATTTCATAACCCCAAAAAGAAACCTCATACCCCATTAGCAGTCACTCCCTATTTACCCCCCACCCCACCTCCCAGCCCCAGGTAACCACTAATCTACTTTTCTATCTCTATATTGCCTATTCTGACATCTCATATAAATGAATTATACGTGTGGCATTTTGCGTCTGGCTTCTTTCACTCAGCAATGGGTTTTTTGTTTGTTTGTTTTTTAAAGATGACCGGTAAGGGGATCTTAACCCTGGACTTGGTGTTGTCAGCACCACGCTGTCCCAAGTGAGCAAACCGGCCATCCCTATATAGGGATCCAAACTTGTGGCCTTGGTGTTATCAGCACCACACTCTCCCAAGTGAGCCATGGGCTGGCACACTTAGCAATGTTTCTAATGTTTATGCACATTGGTATGTATGTGTACTTTGTTTTTATTGCCAAATAATATTTGAGTGTATGGATAAGCCACATTTTATTTATCCATTTATCAGTTGATGGATATCTGCCTTGTTCCCAAATTTTGGCTATTGTGAATAATGCTATTATGAACATTCATGTATACATTTTTGCCTGGACATACGTTTTTAGTAATTCTGGGTAAATACCTACAGGGGGAGTTGCTGGTCGTATAGTACCTCTGTTTAGTATTTGGAGAAACTGCCAAACTGTTTTCCAAAAAAAGCTGTGCCATTTTACATTCCCACCAGCAGTGTGTGCAACCTCCCTTTTTATACTTTTATTCTTAAATGTTTTATTTGTAGTCCTACTTGGAAGCAAAGGGAAGTCAGCTTGTTTCCAGTGTTCTGATTCTGTGGAATGAATTTATTTGTTAGATTATCTATTTTTATCTTGCTTTATTTACTGCTTCATCTCAAGCTCCTGAGTAAGTTCTTAGACCAGAGTAGGCACTTGATAAATACCTGTTGAAAGTATGAGTCTTGCACGCCTTGGCTACACATCAGGCAACTCAGGAAGTTACCCCTTTAAGATCTGCTGAAAAAGAACTCATTTCCCTCATAACACATGGATCAGGAAAATCTGGGAGCATGTTTTGAGGGTAACCATGGTAATAGGAGGCCGCGATTTGGGGGTAGGAGGTATGACTAATGTCACTAACATTTTTCCTTCTGCCTGGGGGATGTAGCAGGATATTAATGCAAAAAACAAAAGGGATAATAATTTAGTATTTAAGAATAAACAATAGCAAATACACTGTAGTAAATGTTCTTACTAAGTTAAACATTCTTTTTGAAAAGAATATCTATGTAAGTGATAATACTTATATGAGCTTAAAAGAAAAAATCCTGTTGTTTAAAGTTGATAACCCTTTGATATGAATAGCTTTTTGCAGTTTGCTAGCATTTTGGCACAAACTGCTTACTGAATTTCAGTCATGACTGGATTATTAGTGGCTCAGTGCTTGAGTGACTTGTCCTCTTTGCTTGGCGTAGTCATATGGCTTTAGATGAATGCACGTGTCTGCCAACACATACTCTTAGGCCTTACAACATGCTCGCTGTGTTTGTGAGTTTGTTCAGCCGCTTATCAGCCTCCCCACCCACCTATGCCAAGTGTGAGCCAAGAGTGACCCTGGACCCCGGGGCCCGCAGCACTCACGGAGAGGCCCGCGTGAGGCCTGGAAAGGACCGGAGGCCCGGTAGGACCAGTTTGGGGGGAGTTTAAGGCAGTCTTCCCGAGGGGTCCTGTTGAAGCTGGTCTTGTGAGAGATGCAAAGCTGAGCCCTCGGCAGGTGGGAGAGGTGCAGAGGCAGTGGTGGGAACGGGGCAGGAGGGGGGGTACCGCTGCCAACGCATCCTGGAAAACCAGAAAGGTTTTTAAGCTAAGATTAACATTATCAAATCTATTTCTACCCCTCCCCCAGCAATGTAAATACTTTTTACAAATAAAGCAGTACACGTTTGTTGTAGAACATAAAAATAAAAACATGTAGGCATAGAAAGTCCATATTTTCCAGAAACCCGTCAACACAATATCTCTGTTTTAGATAGTGTACAAAGAAACCGGACACCCAGACAGAAGATGAGCTGACAAACCAGCACAGTCGCCCTGCCAGAGTGATGAAAGCCCTCACTGTGCGGCAGAGGGGCAGGCAGACTCGGCCCCAGACTGGTCCTAAGACCGTCTGCAAGTGAGAGAGAGTGCGTGCCAGCCGCCGCAGCGTTGGTTACTGTTGTGATGTTAGGAATGGGACAGTCTTGGCGACGTTGAGATGTCTAGCAGTGTTACTGCTAAGGTGAAAGTACAGGATCAGGAGCAGGTCTGAGGCTGAGAGTAACCAGCTGGGTGGTCAGCACGCTAGTCCTGCAGGGCCCTTGGAGAGGAGGGGTGAGAGGCTCGTTTGAGAGATGCCAGCTTTTACTGTGTGGCTGAAACCGAGAATGGAAAAAGACCAACTGTAAGTGTAGAGAGTAAGATGAGCCTCAGAAGGGAACCCTGGGGAAAAACACACTTTTCTTGAGTCTGTGACAAAAACCACTTACCTGTCTTTAGAAAAAAACAAATGTGTGCAAAGTAATGCATAGAATTTTAGAGACACCACAGATCTACTGATTGCCTGAGGCTAAAGGTTCTGATTTAGAGGACAGTCAAAGGAGAAGATGGGCAGTAAAAAGTACTAAGGGTTATCAGAGAGGTAGGAGGAAAAGTGTAAAGAGCCAAACATGGAAAGTGTGTCTCAGAGAAGGGAGTGGTACCTGTGTCAACATGAGAGAGCCATGCACAAAGGTGGAAAAAGGCCACTGTGAGGATTGCCTTCCTGGGACTAGTTTCTAAGAGTCAGACCAAGTGAGTGACTGCAGTGGAGTGATGAATGAATGGGAGACTGAAAATAGACTGAAAATATTGTGAACAGTTAGTGCTGGAGATTCTTCCAAGAAGTTTAGCAATGAAAGGAAGGAGTCAAAGCTGATAATTTGATGAGAAATATTTTTTTGGTGGGGGGGGGGCTTGAGAGAGACGATTTTTCAGGTAGAGAGGAATCAACTATGGGAAGAGGGTAGCAAAGAAATTAGAGAGCGGAGTGAACTGATGTAGAATTAGGTGAGGAATCAGGTGGAAATGGGACCAGGAGCAGAGGTTACAGAGATAGCTTGAGAAAGGACAAGGTATACTTCTGAGAGACATGAGGGAAAGAGGTCAGGATGCATGGAGATAATTGTGTTTATAGGTGGGAGGATTGGGAAGTTCCTGCTTTCCAGCCTCCAGAGTCTGGGCACATCCACCCTTTTCTGATATCTGGAACAGCTGTGGCCTGCAAGGATGAGGGAAAGAGGTCAGGATGCATGGAGATAATTGTGTTTATAGGTGGGAGGATTGGGAAGTTCCTGCTTTCCGGCCTCCAGAGTCTGGGCACATCCACCCTTTTCTGATATCTGGAACAGCTGTGGCCTGCAAGGCGTAGTGTTGGAGATGTCTGTGTTGGTGACCAGCGGTGGAAAATCCTTAGAATGAAAACTCTCTAGATCAGTAGGTGAAGGTATCTCCCTTCTTCGGTTATAAATGCTAGCTGCTAGGTGGCCCCTGCAGTTCGGTCTATGAAAGCACTCTTTATCTTTCTGGCATACGTAAAGATTTGTCAAAGTTAGTTATTTAAAATTAAGTACTTCAAATTAAATTTTAAAAATACTTAAAATTCACTATCTGTGGATTCCGTTTCTCTATGTTTTTCTTTATTCATTCTGTTATAGACTATAGAAGGGTGACTCCTTTATTTTAATTAGAGTTAATTTAACTCTTCTAAATTCTGTACTAAAAGCACATACCTTTACATATATTATCTTCTTTCCTACTTCCCCTTCTATGCAAAGCAATTAAAAAACTTTCAGTTGAGGAGCATTATTTTTAATTAAAGAAATTTTAGTGTGTGTGTGTGTTTTAAAACCTCAAAGAAGTAAATCAGTCAGCTTTCCCGGGGCATCTTATAAATATCTAATTTGATTTTCCCCTTGTAGTTTATGCCCATTTTTCTTTTTTATTTTAAGATAGCTGTACTAATAATTTAGGTTCTTCCCTTGAGAGCCCTCTCCATCCCATACTGAGTAATGTCACTCACTTCCAACCTTTTAAAGCCCGTATCTATTTTCTTAGCAATCACCACAAATTTGGAGGTTTTTTGGTTCATCTTGCCCCAATTACATTTTTTTCCTAAAATACTTAACTTTTCTATCAATTGGAAAGTCCCCCATAGCCCACAGACCTGAAGCCCAGATAGGGAAAAGAGAAGTAGGAGCTGGGGAAGGAAGGGCGGGGGAAGGCTAGAGCTGCTGGTCCTCTGCCAGCGCCGGGCATCGCTCAGAAGGACGTGCAGTGTGATCTTCTGCGTTTTGCTTTTCTGTTACGATACAGAGTTTTCAGGTGTTACTGCAAGGGTCTCCTTCGTCATCTCTGACCCAAGTCATGCTCAGGAAGCAGGTGGTAGAACTGATGGTTATGACCGTGTTCAGTAAACCGACTTTCAAAGGGAGGAAAGTAGAACTTGCTTTAATGTAGAAATCTCCACACACAGTCCCTGTGTGCGTCTGATCTTCTGCCATGGCTCCTTCTAAACTCAGCTTGTCTTTCCAAGTAGCCTAGACGGAGCAAGTTTTTACAAGTGCACATCGAAAGTACGTTGAGAGAAAACCAGAAATTTATGTACCCTATCCTGGAGGAAATAAGGTCATTCTTAAAAGAGTAGTAATTTCCCACAATTTACTTGAAAAGTCTTTTTCTTCCCAAATTAGTGTTTTCTGTGTACCACCTTGTCTCAGCGGCTCCATAGTTATTCAGAATTCCTGTTAATCTTAAAACGTCAGAGTTTATAGCTGTGAAAGGAAAGAGCAAAAATGAAATGAACAGGCTGAAGGATTTGCTCCGGCTGACATAATTCACATGCATGCTAGAGGCAGGGTACTCTGCCTACTAAATTCTTGTAAAAAAAAAAACAAAAACTTAATCTTCATTTCATTCAGTTTGTCATGTGGAAGCTTGTCATTTAAAATATTTAGTGGACGAGTTTCCTGAACAAAACTTTATAAATCAAGTATGGTCTGACACATGTCTGGAAACCAGAAATTCTTAAATTGGAATTCTGGTTTTAGACTTGAATCCTTTCGTGGCCTGGGGCAAGTCATTTAACATCTTACCTCCCTTTTTGCCATCTATAAAGGATAAATACCTCTGTCTCAGGGATGTTGAAAGGATTAATTAGTCAGTCTGTAAAGAACTTTGAAGATGAAAAGTACTTTAAAAGTGCTTCTTAATAACATTATTGCTTAGAAAAGAGTGCCACTTTTATGCTAACCACTTTATGTCTCAAATTATATAAAGAAGGTATGTTTAGTACATTACTAGTAGTTATAAACCAGAGGTAAATCTCTCGTGGTGTGAACATCAAACATTAGCTTCAGAATTTCAAAGGATCATCACTGTCTTATGGATTGTTGAGGAGCTGTGTTCTGCTCAGTAATTAGTTGCAAAGATCCCATTTCAGGGAAAAGAAGGCCCTTTCTCACAATTCAGCCTTTCTTTATCTTTTACTCAGTCAAGTTTTTTAGTACTAACTTTAAAATGGTACAGTGACTTTGGGTTGGCCCAAGGAGGGCAAGAGAGAGAAGTACACTTTTTTTTGAGGAGGGAACAGAGTAAAAGAACCATAATCTTTCCTTTTTCCCCTTCTCTCCTCTCCCTCCCTGCCCCCATCTCATCACAGAGCCATGAATGTGTTGCTTTAGCCCTTTCTAGAAGAGTTAGAGCTCACTGTTTAAACTTATTGGAAGTATACATTTTTATGGTTAATTCAGTTTTTTTCCCTCTAAACCAAGTTAACAAAAGGGCCAACATTCATGGAATTGTGTTAATTATGCAGATGATAATGAATTGCATGGGACAACAAACTGTAACAGAGACACAGATTATATAAGGGGACCCTAGAGAAGGTTGGAAAACATGATCAAGAAATGAAATGAGATTTGAATTTGGAGGGGCCATCCTGTGGCTCACTTGGGAGACTGTGGTGCTGATAACACCAAGGCCACGGGTTCGGATCCCTATGTAGGGATGGCCGGTTGGTTCACTTGGGAGAGCGTGGTGCTGACAACACCAAGTCAAGGGTTAAGATCCCCTTACCGGTCATCTTTTAAAGAAAAAAAAAAAAAAAAGATTTAAATTTGAGATAAAGTGTGTCAGAAAGTAATCCAGGTAAGAAATTGGAAGGAAAGATGCTTGGAGAGAGCAGTGACTAGGGCTGAATCAGATAGAATTTACCCAAAGTGTAATAGCTTTTGTTTTCTATAAGTATAATCAGATGGATTCGTGTTTCAAGTGGTTCATGTGGGCTGATGACTTGTGGTCTAGTGAATTAAGGCTGAGGGGAGGAAAAACTAGAATTATCATAGCTCTTTCCTGCAGGGCCTCATGTGTTCATTCCTTGTAGAAGGTGGACAAGTTGCTAAAATATTCACATGCCTAACTTGTACATGCTTTCAATATAAAATGCTTTAGAATCTTAAATGCCACTGACCATAACAATAAATTACAGGCTTCAGAAATATATTGCTCCTTGCATTTTGGCTTCAGTACTATGATTTAGTAAGATAAGTAGCAACTATTGAAATCTTTGGTACTGCCACTTAAAATATTAAATTAGTGAGTGTTTTTGCTAGCCATTATTTTTACGACATATCTATTGAAAATGAGTAATGACTTTTCGAGTGCACCTGCTTCTTTTTATTGATAATATTAAGTGAATGATATTTTTTGTGTTTAACCACACATGTAAACAATTTTTCTTCATGCAATCAATCCTAATTAAAACTTGTTTAAAATGGTAAATGAAAACATAATGCTGGCTGGCCGGTTAGTTCAGTTGGTTAGAGCGTAGTGTTACAACACCAAGGTCAAGGATTCAAAACAAAACATAACATAATGCTAATTAATATGTCATTCTTGTACATTTTCTACAGCAAAACCCTTGAAGATCGTTTGAAAATAGAAGCCAAACATGGGGCATTGAGTGTATCAGACACCACTGTTGGCAGCAAACAATTGACATTCACATTAAAGAGGGTAAGTTGTTTTTTAATATTATTTTTTTAACTCACAAAGAAAAATAGGCTTCTGATAGCTTTGTGTGTGTGTCTGACCTCAGAGCTGGCTTCGCAAGCTTCTCCCCTGTTGAGGGAGCTGTGTTCCCTACTCGAGCATTTTCCCTGCAGACGGCGCCCCATGGTTTCAGAGAACACTGCTTCCCAAAGCAGAACCAGGAGTGTTACTGGTGTCCTATTGTGACCTGGGAGTCGGCTGTGTTGGTGATGAACCAGCTGTCTTGGTTTCTGGGTCACCACAGCCTTGTAAAGTGAAAGTCCTGACCAACTAAGGATGTAAAAGAATACCTGCCACTAAAATGGACTCTAAAGAAGACCGGGAATTGGCAGAGTCTAATACCTTCATGACAGTTATATCCGGCTTTCCCAGACAGGCGAATTACTCTGCCGGTGGTAATCCTATTCTAAATTGATTTAAAAGATCCATTGCTTTAACCAGCTGTAATAATGCCTGTTGCTCATTGTAGGAGGAAAAGCCGCTTAAGTATGTGCTATTAACAGATGAGTGAAACAACATGGTTTCATTTCTCAAAAAATTTTTTCTCATTCATAGTCAGTCCTCCTCAATATAATCACCAAGTAGAAAAGAATGACAAAGATTCCATCTCTGATTTTTTTAAAATTGAGATATCAATCACATACCATAAAGTTCACTCTTTTAATAGAATTCAGTGGTTTTTAGTATATTCACTAAGTTGTGTAAGCACCACACAATTTAATTCCAGAACATTTTCATCATCCCAGCAAGAAACTCCATACATGTTAGCAGTCACTCCCATACTCCCATCCCCCAACCCCTGGCAACCACTAATCTACTTTCTATGTATAGATTTGCCTATTCTGGACATTTCATATAAATGGAATCACATAATATGCTTTATTTTGCACCTGGCTTATGTTGCAGCATGTATCAGAACTTTGTTTCTTTTGATGGCTGGATAATACTCCACCAGACATACTTGCATACCATGTTTTGCTTATCCATTCATCTGCTGATGGACACTTGGGTTGTTGTTTGGTTTGGTTTGGTTTGGTTTGGATTACTGTTATGAATAATGCCAGGAAAATTCACGTGTAAGTTTTTCCCTGAACAAATATTTTTATTTCTCTTGGGTGTATACCTGTGAGTGGAATTGCTGCATCATATGATATAACTCTTTAACCTTTTGAGGAACTGTCAGGCAGTTTTCCAAAGTGGCTATACCATTTTACATTCCCACCAGCAGTGTGAGAAGGTTCCAGTTTTTCCACGTTCTCACTGACACTGTTGCTGTCTGTCTTCTGTTTCAGCCCTTCTGGTGGGTGTGAAGTGGCATCTCACTGTGGCTTTGACTTGAGGGTCCCTGCTGACTCATAATGCTGAGCATCTTGTCATGTGCTCACCGGCCATTTGTGCATCTTCTCCCAAGAAATGTCTGTTTTTGTCCTTTACCCATTCATCCCTGATTCTTCTAAAATTTTTCCTACCTGCTTCCAGGACACTTGCCAAATGATAAAAATGTTTTTATTCTAAGTGGAAGAAGCATTTCAGTTAAATCTGTTTAGAGCAGATTTGCACTCTAACATTTATCATCTAAATAAGCCAAAACTGGGTATGCATTCAGAGTAACTCGTCATGCCTGTCCTAGTTTCTTAGAAATTCTCCATGCATGCACCTTAAAACATTTCTCACGTCCCTCTGAAGTTCAGGCACATCAGGCGTGAGGCAGGAGCAGTGCAGCGAGGATGGGCCATGGGTTCAGTAGCTTGAAAGCCGCCTCAGCTGCTGCCAGAGTCCCCCCTGCTAGACCAAATGGGGGTCTACTTCGCAGTAGTGTGAAAATACAAGCCTTTCCCTTCTGTTCTTAAAATAGGGAAGTGCTAAGTTGAATATCATTTTATAATTTGTGGTAAAATGAAAATAAGATGGCTCTGAAATTATATTTTTGCTTAAAAAAAAAAAGAAAAGAAGGACTAAGAATTGTTTAAAATGGCCTCAGCTGAATCAGGCAGAGAGGCTTTGAAACTGTTTTTGGGGGGTGTATCAGTTAATGTATGATGTGTTTTATCGCTTTACCAACAAAGTCTTAATTATTAAATCTCAGTTTCACTTGAGAATATATTTATGGACTTGTTTGTGTATTCATTTATAGAAATCTCCTCTTATACCGTGTGTGTGATATACTCCGGTAAAATCTTGAGTTTTTTCAGTATTTTCATATGTACTTGCTAAAATACCAGTAGCATTCAAGGGGGAGAATCTGTGCTTTAATATTATTTAAAATTGTATAGTGGCAAAAC